GATCTCTTCCAACCCAAACCATTCTAGAATTCTATAAATGCTCAGAGCTACAGTACTAACTTGCCAAGTTGTGCTGGTTTTACTTAGTGTACAGAATCTTTCCTGCACCTTTATTCCTATCCTTGGCTAGACTCTCCTTTCTCTAGGATTAGACTATCACTAGTCAGGTCTGTCCTTAGCTGACTGTTAAGATTGGCAGCCGCTGGCCAAAAGAAACTTCTTTTCTCGTAGTTTAGGGTGTCCAACTGTCCTTAGCTGCACAACACACACTATCCTCTTGTATGGGAGCCTAACCGTAAAGAGGTGATTTTTTTTTTTTTTTTTTTTTTTTAATCTGTGGCTGCTGGATCTGAGTAGGTGACTTTAGTGAGCTCTTACTATGGAGAAGTCCTGCAGGTTTATTTCAGGGAGGACAAAAGCCTGAAGTTATGCAGACATGGAACAAAGTTACTGTCCCAGAGTAAAGAATTTATGAGAGAAGATCTTTTCAATGCTTTGCTTTGAACCAACCCTTTAAGACTCTTAAGGCAAATAGACAGGATTCCATTAGTTATGTGGAAAACTCCTCCACTCTAATAATTTTGCATTATTTTTATAATGGTTTTCGCTACAGGTTTGAAACTCAAAAATATTTGTCTTTGGCCCTAATGGGAATGAATGAAGCTCAGAATGGATCTTAATATAAGCAAATTAAAAATACTGGAATATAATCCTGACTACAACTTAATTGCATAAATTATATTTTCTATACTTTGTAACTAATCACGCAAAGGGTTAAGTACTTCTCTGTTCCAAAAATACTTGTAATGTATTGCTCCATGGCCCATAAAGTGTTAGATTGTTCAATGTTTTATCCATCTAACACTGCAGGATGCTCTCCCTGCTTATTCTTGGCTGATTGATGCCTTAACTTCAGTAATAATTGCCCTCATACCCAGTATAATCCAACACAGAATTTAAGATTATCAAAGTAAATTTTTTTATTATTATTATTACATAAGATCTTGTCAGACAGAAAATTAAAATATCTTACTTTATTATCCTCTTTCCTCTCAAATTAAATGTATTCCTTATTTAAATTTTCTAGACTATTGAGGATTCTTCTGAATATGGAAACTGGAACGTTTTGAAGTTCTCAGACTACCTTCTCTACCAAAAAGGAATTAGACATTATTTTAATTGGCTACTATATAATCTGTAGCAGGGTTCTTTCTGAATGAGGAATTGCCCCTGTATCATGCATAGTAGGAGTAAATTGTTTATAAAGTTCACAAACTTGTGCAAAATCTGGCATAGCTGTAACAATAAAGACAAAAAATTTAAAAATGTAGAAAGTTACATGCCATATATAAATCATACACATTTCAAAATAGTCTTGCTTCCCAACAATTCCAATAAAAATCAAAAACATTCTTGTAGACTTTATGGATCAATTTTCCTTAGTTTGTCTGTATAGCAGCACCTTGTGAATTGGATAGCAAACTGAACAGAAAATTCTAACAATTATTAACATGGTTTTCATTAGTTATATCCATGCTACTTTAGAGATACATGAAACTTAGAAGTTTCCAAGATTAGGAAAATGCATCCCTCAAATTCAATTAAATATCACCACTGGGCTGCTCACTTTCTCTCTCTCTCTCCCCGCCACTGAAGAATTTCCTCTTTTTAGGAAGTTTTTCATATTTCTTCTCAGTCATTTTTTAACACATAACTGGTCCTTAATTTTCTCAAATTGTTAAAATGATAGCAGTATTTATCACATTTTTGTCCATCTTAATTACTTAGATAAGTACTCCATATTATGGATGCCTGTTTCTGTTTGTCCTGCTTGGAAAGTTTGTGAAGCACAGTTGTATTACAGAGCTTTAAGTGGTATTTTGCATGAGAGAAATATATTTTTCCTGGAAAGTTCCTTAGTCACTTTTTAAGAGAAGAAATTACAAAACCGAATTAGTGCATAAATCAGAGAAAATATTTATTTACAGACATGTAAAAATTATGTTACAACATTTTAAAGAAAACTGTAATGAACCATCAATCTGCTCTACTTGGGCAAACCCTGAATGTTTTAATTCTAACTTGCAGTGGCACCTATTAAAAATATGACTGCTTACAAGATTGTAGCTATCTACATAGTTTAAGTACAATGATTTTTCAGAACTAAAAATGGATCTACAGCAAAAAATAATAATAACTGCAACAATATGTAATACAAGAGTTTACAAAAGTAAAAATATTTTTTCTTGATCCAAACTTTAAAGCTTCTTAGTAAATATTTTCCATTCATGCAGCTGCACAGGTTTGAAACAAATATCTGAAATACACAGAGCATATAGGTCTGTGTAGAAAATGAATTGGTTTAATTCAGGACTGTCCATAAAGGATTTTATAAGACTGTTGACTATCCAAACCAATTGACAAGATCCTTTATGTTTCCTATTCTTCCATATTGCAAGGGATGAGCAATGTTAAAAAAGCCCCCACGACTGACAAAACCCATGTAAAAGAAGTACAGGCAGTGATGACGAACAACACCGAGCACACCGCATACATGAAAAGTAGAGAACTATCAAGCTCTGTTGAAGCTACCAGCATCCTCTGTAGTGATTTGAAGCAAACATGCCATTAAGAATCCTTGCTAGTAATTGACTGTACGGCACAACAAGATTCTGACTTGCAAATGAATAGTGCCTCATGTTGTCATCAGAGGTGTCTTTTTGTGTTCAAAATATATTCGAGACTTAAACTGTGGTGTGAAACAGTGTCGACATTGTGACTGTGCAATCATTTCTGTGAGTATATAATCTAAGGGTAATGATTGGAAAGAATTTGTAAAGATCTAATAGAGTGCTTTCTGTGAGTATTAGCTCATTTGGAATGGAGGTGGTGAAGAGATGATACACCTAGCTGTTTCTCATACGGAGTTTATTAACACCAACATCAGAACTGATCTCCTTGGATGACATTCTGCATCTTTTAAGTCAGTCAACAGTTTACATAATTGAAATGGGCAAAATGCCCGTGGAGCTGCTAAGGTTTGGCGTTCTTTTTTTTATCTGTCAGCCAAAGATGGAGATCCCAAAATGGCAATTCTTTTTGCATTTTTACAGTTAAAAATGGTCGTAACTTATACTAATAGATAGTGGAGAAATATTTCACCCTTTGCTTTGACCTAACATTTCACTTTTACACAAAAGTAATATTTTTTTGCTGCGCTTTTCTGGGAGAGTCAGCCTTGGCGGATTCTGAAGCTGTGATTCTTTATGCTCAGGAGTAACTACTTATACTATTCTTTCCTTAAGTAGCTAGGTACTACTCAGCACTTAGGTAAACCGTGTAACTCCACAGACAATAGACAAGCTACATATAAGATACACAAACATAACTGAGAGTGCTATGTTACATAGTCTCCTAGTGAATTAAATTCCCACTCATTAATAGATAATTAAATTCAAATGTATGCTCTTCCAAATGTTCAAAGAATTTCAGTCCTTCTTTGATGATGGTCCCTATGCTGGAAACCTGACCAGAGACCTTGAGCTCCTGCCTCCTCATACCCCAACTTTTTGAGGTGAACTCTCATTTCACAAACTGTTGGTTTTTATAGAAATTGAAAGTTTAATCTATGAAAGAGTCTCTCTGGTACCTTTATTTTTTTCTTGCTTTCAGTCTACAGAGAATGATTGAAAGGGCAAGACAAGGGTTCATCTTTGTGGTGCTGGATGATACCAAATACCAAATACTCATGGCCACAGATATCAGTGGAAGTCAGGGCTTCGTGCTGCAGACTGGCACACAGCTGGCTCTCAGCTCCATTTGACTGTGTAAAGTTCTTCCTACATTGACATCTCGCCCTCTTGGAAACCTGTAGCTATTAAATATTTTTTTTCCCTGCAATCACTTTAAAGACATGTCTTTTTCTATAGGAGTAAATCTCACATAAGGATGTACATAAATAAATATCTATTACTTGTTTCATGTCATCTGCAGTCTAGCTTTGGGATGGTGAACAAGTTGGTACGTTCATCAGAGAAGACAACCTTGTGCCCATATCATATATGCTTTGATACCCTTAATATCTCAGTAACACAAGAGAAATAATGCATCCATTCTGTTTGAAAGGAGGTATGATTTATTAAGAAATTCTATACTGAGGTTCCCCCTACAACATCTGTAATAATTAATTATTCCAATTGCAGGCTTTTAGGAGGGCTTTAGGGGTTCAGGAGTGGAAAGACTACTGCTAGAAAAATAAACCAGAAAGTAATTAGTAGGCTAACTCGGGTTGTCAGATATTGGCAGTCTATAAGTAATTTACCTGGCTAGACAGGAGACTGACTGTCATGTAAACTTTCCATATGGTAACAACAAACTGCCTTTAGAAACTTGCAGGAACAGCTGTAACAACTGTCTGATGAATGGCATCACAGAGGGTACTTATCTGAAGAAAGGGATTTACAAGAGGATCCAATTTACAGCTTATCGAGGATTGCTCTCTTATTTTGAAATTTTCACTTTTTAGCAGCTATCCCTATTAGTAAACATAATTCTTTAGAATGATGAATACAATAAATAAAATAATGGAACATACCATACAATGTATTTAATTGTGACACTGATCATAACGATCTTGTTTGAATTAAACTGTAAACAAAGAAGGGCAATATCACCTGACTCTAAATATGGTAAAACAGTAAAACATGCTAATCATAAAAATAGCTTTTAGAAATATACATTTGTATACAGTGTTTCCCACACCTGTTAAATATGTCCTTCATATTATTATGATACAGTACATTGGCCTTTAAGACATCAAAATTAAAAAAATAATACCAATAATTAGCCAGAGAAAAACACATTTACAATCTAAACCATAAAAATCTGACAATTGTACAGCTTAGAACATATAAGAAATGGAATTTCTAATATTTGAACAATAACGTCCATTTTAATAAGTAAATTGAATTTTCATACAAATTGAATCAAAGGTGTTGCTAGCCAGTAAGAAACTGCAGTTCACAATTTTCTGTGGGGAAGTCAGAGTTTCTCTTCTCAGCCTTCAGGGGGTTCACACATGACATCTCATCACTTGATCTGTAGAAACTGAGAAACGAAAGGTTCACTTTAGTATGAAAGCACAGAATTTCCTCCAGCAGAACCTCTAAAGGAAGCCAAGACAACTGGGAAAAGAGGGACGAGGACTATGAGTTGACTTTTTAATGAATCAATCAAATATTGATATCTATCAGACTTTCTCACCTGATACCTTCGAGGGCTAAAAGAAAAGTCGTATACCTGCAGCAGTGGACAATCAGGATGGTCCAACAGTCCTAAGTTAGACTGGATAGCCCAAAATAACCACAGTGAATCAAGCAAGAGCTGTTGAGGCTGAAGCATACTTCCCTTCAGTAATGCTATGCAAACAACTGCCAAATAATTTCTATTTTAGCAGCAGAAAATAGAAGACTGTATCTTAGCTGCTTTGCAATGAAATGCTTTATTTGCATAATAGTATTCAATCTAAATAAACTGCGTGTAGGATTCTTTGCTTTGGTCCCATTGCACTATTTATATACATTATTCCGGACCATTTCCATTGACTGTGTGCTTTCAACAATGTTTATAATTACCAGATTGGTGGATTTTTCCTCAGTGGCTTCCCTTTTGACATTGTCTGTTTTATTATTATTCTTGTGTACATGCCGTAGGCTTTAACTGCATATCCTTTAATTTCTTCTGTTGTTTTACAAGCCACAGTGTGAAACAGCAAAAATCCAGTGTCGGCCAGGAGTTTTGAGGGTCATTTCTCCAGCAGGCTGGAGGCAGGTTACATCTAAAAATCTGAGAGTCCTGCTATGCAATCCATTGATGCTATCAGCTTCAACTAGGCATTCAGTGATGCTACAGAGGAGCATGAGACATACCAGCTCCACCTACCCACAGAAAAACTAACAACACTTTCCCAATCACATCTGTTTGGAAAAGTGACAGTAGGAAATATTAACAGAAATAGATGGTTTCTTTTTATAAGTGCAGTTTTCAACGTAAGGTTTGGGGTTTTTTTTACCTTTGACAGGAAAAATACCTTTCAGTTAATTTCTTTTTCACTTTTTTTCCCCATTGTATCATTTTCTGTAACTGAAACAGAAAATACTTCTGATCAAAACTTGAAGAATTTCCAGATGTTCTTTTCAGCCAATTTCTGCCTCCTTCAGTGAGTTTTAAGTCTGCCTTTTTCTTCCCCAGAAAAAAGGGATGATTTCTGTTAAAATTTCCATTTATTGAAAACCTGGTTTTTCAATGAAAAAGGTTTTATCAGAAATATCAGAGTCTCTGCAAGACTGGCCCCCTGCCCTTTGAAGCAGCCAGTCATCGGATTTCTCTCTTGTTGCAAAAGGAGCACCAGATGTCTGGTTGTACCCTTCACAGGTAACCAGGATTAGGGAGAAAAGCTCATGGGAGAGATCCCAGAACTTTCTTCTTTCAGTTAAAATATCCTGAAACTATTATTCTCTATTTGCATTGAGAAAAAACTTCATTTCCTCTATTTTTAGCTCCTGATCCCTGGACAGACTTAACTACATGAAAAAGATTTTAGAATTCTCCCGTTAGGTCTGAGAGAGGCCTAATGGTTGTTAAGTAGCTATTCATCTTACAAGAAGTAAAAAAAAATTCCCATTGTACATCCTATTAGCTCCAGAGATACTTCCTCTTTTCTAGCCTTTTCTTCACCTATGCTTTGCTGTTCCATTATGCCATTATAAAAAGCAATAATTATGCAAGTAAGAAGAGAGACAGATTTTCAAGTTTTTTATTGAAGCTTTTTCCCTGTCATAAACCTTTCAAGCATTTACCTGTCACCAGCACTAAAAAGCTTCATTAGGTTACTATTATGAAGCGTTACTACTAACCATCTGGATCCAAGTCATCAATACTGCTTTGCTGTCATTTAGAAACAATGATAAAAATTTACCAACCCCACCAGTCCAAAATCTTGTGTTCTTCCATCAGTACACGGGCTTGTTATTTGCCTCTTAAGGCAAATAATCTTAAAGGCTGAGAAGAAACTTTAAAATCTGAAATAGTCAAGCTTTTATTTTCCATAGAATGACAGTAACCCAGGGCTATGATTAATCTAGTGTAATGCAATACTAATTTTATTCTATTTCTTTCTTCTGAATAGTGTGCAATATATCAGCTGGCTTTATGGTAGTGCTGATGATATTAAAAAACCTCATGATGACTAATGTTTTTTTTAATCTTTTCATTTCCTTCCCGTTATATATATAAAAAACATCCTGACACAACAAGGATGAACTGAATTATGTTTAAGCCAGCAATACGGCTTTCATTTTATGTAGTTCTAACAGAAAACCACTTTAGAAAGTATGATTTGAACATAATGCATTTTAAGAATTGAATAACCCAACTGAGCATATAGCCTTGGCAGCCATAGACAATATGAAAGAAACAGTATATACTGTTGCAATTGCCATAATAATCTCTGAAAAAAGTTGGAAATAGTTATTGGTTCATTTTCCACCTGAAATTATTTTTGCTGTTTTTTTCTCCATCTGGGTGGCTTTTTGAGCACGAGCTATTGGAAACAGTCTTCTTAGGCATAACACTGTATTTCAGTCTTCCAGAAATGCTGTTGCTACTGTTATAGTTATAGTATGACCCTTCTAGCATTTTTACCAGACTCAAATTATACTCTTTTCAATTAATTTTAACTTTACACTATTACAATGTATATAACATTGGAAAGCCAACATTAAATATTAAACATCTCACTAAATGAAAGTGCAGTTCTACTGAACCAGCCCCAAACTATAATCACTAAGAAAGATGAAGTAAATCAGATAAAATTCAGTTAAAATCTAGAGAGTTTTCCATCTTGTCTTTCAGAGGTTTAATGGTTTTATCACTAACCTCCACTCAAAGCCTAGGTAGTTCCAGTCTTTACATCTGTAGATCTTTAAGAATGCCCTGCATGTAGAGGACATCTTTTGTAGGAGAGCCTGGCCATCAGATCACCTGCCAGGTGACCATTTCCTCTAAGCTCTTTGCTTCCTTGTCACCAAGCATAACACAGTAGGAATAGTTTGCACTCCATTTCTCCTAAAAGTCTTTCAGGAGAAGGCAGGCTCAATATAGGGTAAAGACCTGCAGACACCTGCAGACCTTTCAGAACAAGGTGGCCCCCCCCCCCATCTCCCCAGCCTCCCCAAGAAACTGGAAGCTGTAATGGTGACGACTCCTTCTGTGCAGGGGGGATGCTGCTGGCTTTTCTAAACTTGTTCAGGTGGACTTTGTCTGCAGGAGGCATGTGTTTTGATCTCTTCTAGTTGGATCCAAACAGAGGTCAGCTTCTTCCCTGCTCTGGTTTATTTCTTCTTCCTTACATGTAAACAGCAGGGATATGTTCCTTATTCCCCATGAATATCTACTTTCCTTCTTACAGGGTTTATAGGAAAAGCGCTCTTTACCATGCTCATCTTCCAGACCTAGATGTACAGGAATGACTTAGTACCTGAGAACGTAAATTCAGCATATGTCCTTGGTAGGGAGTATTAGGAATGCACCGTGACTAAATGCCACAAAAGATGTACATGATTAACATCTTCCCTTGTGGTACATTAAGAAAACGTTTAGAGAAAAGTCCCACAGAATACGGATGTTACAGAGTTTACTCTATGGTTTACCCCACAATAATTATAAGTAATAAGAGCCTCCAAGAAGTATATCAAGATGTTTGTCTGACAAAATGCATCTGTTTTCAAACAATTGATTGCTCCGAATGGCTTTTCTGATAACATTAATCTTAGAAATTCCCAGAAAATGCAACTAAACAGTAGATGGATAGATGGTGCACATATGCACGTGAGCTTGAAACCCAAAGCCTCAAATATCCTTCCTCTTGCTCTCCTGCCTCTTTTTTCTTGCCAGATAAACCCATTCTCAGGACTGGACTTCTGAGTTTAATAGCTATAAGGGAGGTATCTGAAGCTAATTCTGATCATTGCTTGGTTTCAGGTAAAATCACATTTTTACCTCTGTTGACTAGGAGACTCGATGCCTGACACCTTCCCGGGTTGTTACTGGTGTTGAGTAGGCTTTGGCAGTGGGTTATGTGACTGCCATACATCACTTTCTGCAAAACAACTGCAAGCCCCATTAAAATGCAGCTGCTGCATCGTCCTCTCACTCACAACACTGGTCCTCATACTTGCGTACCTCAGACTGCAATCGTAGCACGATTGCTTTGATTGCATCTGATGCTCACTCCTATACTGTTATCTGTACAACCGAGAATACTGAATCCAGGTCCACAGATGCTACTGCTATGTCCTCTAGGATGACATACTCTGTTTCATATCTAATAATATTTCTCATTATGAAATGTACTTTCTGGACAGCCAAGGAAGTAAAAAGCTGAATCTGTTTGCAGAACAGACTATTTTAAAAAAACCTCAAATTTTGGTTAGCCCTTATCAATCCAGATATTTCCCTAAAATGAAAAGTCAGGATGTATTACACAAAGTAGTAGTGCAAATTGTCATTCTGTTTATTTGCTGCGTCTAACTCAAGACAATATCCTTCCTTTCTCTTAAGCAGGCAGCTCACACTGAGTGCAAACCCCAGTAATTTATGTTTGTAAGGTGCCATGGGGGGATGCACTTCTACTGGCTTTTACACAGCATTTATCATCATGAATGGAAATCCACAAGCAACGAACAGGGCTTACCAAAGAACCTTGAATTTGTATTAGTTATCACGTTGGCTCCATGGCTGTGTTCATTGAAATATACCTTGCATTGTCCCTTGATTTAAAGCATGAAATCTCTGATTAAGCAACACAGTTATATCAGCAATTTAGTAGAATGCCCCCATATGAAATGTATACAGTCAGTTTATTAGGTGTTAGCAGGGGAAGGGGAATGTGCATTACGGGTTTGCTGATGTCATTTGTACCACTTGTAAAACATGACAGACAAAAATTATGGCACTAAAGCAAAACTTTATAATGAGCTGGTGATAGAATAGTCACTGCATATAACAAGTAGGAGGAATTGTACAGTTTTGTAAATATTAATAAAGAA